GGGGTGGGATGGATGGAGAATAGGATAGATGAGGGGTGGGATGGATGGAGGATAGGCTGGATGCGGGGTGGGATGGATGGAGGATAGGCTGGATGAGGGGTGGGATGGATGGAGGATAGGATAGATGAGGGGTGGGATGGATGGAGGATAGGCTGGATGGGGTTGGGATGGATGGAGGATAGGCTGGATGACGGGTGGGATGGATGGAGGATAGGATAGATGAGGGGTGGGATGGATGGAGGATAGGCTGGATGGGGGGTGGGATGGATGGAGGATAGGCTGGATGAGGGGTGGGATGGATGGAGGATAGGATAGATGAGGGGTGGGATGGATGGAGGATAGGCTGGATGGGGTTGGGATGGATGGAGGATAGGCTGGATGAGGGGTGGGATGGATGGAGGATAGGCTGGATGAGGGGTGGGATGGATGGAGGATAGGCTGGATGCAGGGTGGGATGGATGGAGGATAGGCTGGATGCGGGGTGGGATGGATGGAGGATAGGCTGGATGCAGGGTGGGATGGATGGAGGATAGGCTGGATGCAGGGTGGGATGGATGGAGGATAGGCTGGATGCAGGGTGGGATGGATGGAGGATAGGCTGGATGAGGGGTGGGATGGATGGAGGATAGGCTGGATGAGGGGTGGGATGGATGGAGGATAGGCTGGATGCAGGGTGGGATGGATGGAGGATAGGCTGGATGCAGGGTGGGATGGATGGAGGATAGGCTGGATGAGGGGTGGGATGGATGGAGGATAGGCTGGATGAGGGTGGGATGGATGGAGGATAGGCTGGATGCAGGGTGGGATGGATGGAGGATAGGCTGGATGCAGGGTGGGATGGATGGAAAGGCTGGATGCAGGGTGGGATGGATGGAGGATAGGCTGGATGGGTGGGATGGATGGAGGATAGGCTGGATGGGGGATGGGAGGATAGGCTGGATGAGGGGTGGGATGGATGGAGGATAGGCTGGATGCAGGGTGGGATGGATGGAGGATAGGCTGGATGCAGGGTGGGATGGATGGAGGAATAGGCTGGATGCAGGGTGGGATGGATGGAGGATAGGCTGGATGCAGGGTGGGATGGATGGAGGATAGGCTGGATGAGGGGTGGGATGGATGGAGGATAGGCTGGATGAGGGAGGATGGATGGAGGATAGGCTGGATGCAGGGTGGGATGGATGGAGGATAGGCTGGATGCAGGGTGGGATGGATGGAGGATAGGATAGATGAGGGGTGGGATGGATGGAGGATAGGCTGGATGCAGGTTGGGATGGATGGAGGATAGGCTGGATGCAGGGTGGGATGGATGGAGGATAGGATAGATGAGGGGTGGGATGGATGGAGGATAGGCTGGATGCAGGTTGGGATGGATGGAGGATAGGCTGGATGCAGGGTGGGATGGATGGAGGATAGGATAGATGAGGGGTGGGATGGATGGAGGATAGGCTGGATGCAGGTTGGGATGGATGGAGGATAGGCTGGATGCAGGGTGGGATGGATGGAGGATAGGATAGATGAGGGGTGGGATGGATGGAGGATAGGCTGGATGCAGGTTGGGATGGATGGAGGATAGGCTGGATGCAGGGTGGGATGGATGGAGGATAGGATAGATGAGGGGTGGGATGGATGGAGGATAGGCTGGATGCAGGTTGGGATGGATGGAGGATAGGCTGGATGCAGGGTGGGATGGATGGAGGATAGGATAGATGAGGGGTGGGATGGATGGAGGATAGGCTGGATGCAGGTTGGGATGGATGGGGGTGGGGTGGGTGGAGGTTTACAGGACTGTGTAGAAGGATGGAGACACGGCCCAGCTGGTGTCATGGCTGGCGGGCCGCAGGCTTAGCCAGGGCTCCCCATTAACAGTCTCAGCCCCCAGAGGCCCCGCAGGACCCCTCCTCATCCCCACTGCACTCCTGTGGCCCTCACCACCATCGTCCTTGCTCCTGGTGAGGAAGGCATCGAGGAACAGCTCCCGCTTCAGCTCATGGACAAAGACAGCTCCGGTCTCGGAGGAGGCGCGGTGGTCAGGGAGGATGTGGTGGTCGGGGAGGGTGCCCTGGGACTCCCCTGGGACCACGGCTGTGGCCAGGGACAGGGCTAGAGCCAGGGCTGAGCACCGTGGCTCCTCCCTGCCTCAGTTTCCCCATTGCCCAGAGCCCCAGTGAGCACAGGACAGGGCCAGGAATGTTCCCTGCAGCCGAGTGCCTTGGGATAGCGGGTGGGCTGTATTTAGGAAGGGGGGGGGAATGGGGCCAGGGGAAAGGATGGGGACAGGGACGGGGACAGGGATAGGGTCAGGGATGGGGGCAGGGATGGGGACAGGGATGGGGACAGGGATGGGGACAGGGATGTGGACAGCAGCCCCCCGCTTGCCCCGGATCCCCAGAGAGGTCCCACTCCCCCCCTCCCCGTCTCATCCCAAACCCCTCCAGCAGCCCCACCGAGCTCTGTCCCCTCTGACCAGCACCCCCAGCCGGTCCCCACTGGGGTCTCCCCAGCCCGGCCGTGTCCCCCCCATGGGTGCCGGGGCCCACACTCGCCTGCCAGCACCCAGAGCAGGAGCAGCCCCGGGGCCTCCATGTTCCAGCGCTCGGGCATGGGGCCAGGGCTGATTGACAGAGACAACGGGGCTGGCCTGGAACGGGGGGGCCCATGGGGGTATCCCACGGGGGGCACATCCCAGCACGGCCACGGGCACGGGCACGGCTCGTCCTGCAACCCCCACGTGTGGGTGCTAGAAGAATTCCATCTTGGCCATGATCTGATTTAATTAATGGTTTATTACAACTGATTAATATCGAGAGGCAATGAGCGAGCAGCGCCGGGTGCGCAGGGAGTCTCCGCTGCACCCAAGACGCACCCCGAGATTTCAGGGGGAAAATCTCATACTCCTCAGTCTTGGGTTTCAGCCAATCCTGCCATCTCCTTCACCCCAGTATCGATGTGGTTCCTTTTCACTGTTCTCCTCCTGTTGCTGGGATCTTATCTTTGGGTGAAGAAACTTCTTAAACAGTCACTGAATTCCTTGGCAATGCATTAACAGGGGATGTCTGCCACAAGCTTAACCACCACCTTAGCCCCCCTCAATTCCATTGCTTATATAGTTACTTATTCAATACACAAGTTTCACCTCCTCCTGTAAGGGAAGGTATCCCTTGATTACCTAACCCCCTTAAGGCATTCAAGCGGTTAAACAAAGCACCCCTGTAATTAGCAAAGCGTTTGAGACATTCAAGGAGTCAAAGTACCCCGTGAAGTAACAAAGCGTTTGATGAGGAAGGATTATTCCTTTGTTTCCCCTTCTGTTTCATCTCGGTATTGACAGAAGCATCCATCACAACCTCATCACTCTCATACATCGGTACCGTGACTCCAGGGATGGGCGAGCCCCCCGAAGCACAACGGTCACAGGGGCTCCCAAGCTGCCGGCTCGAACCCTTCCCGTGCTCCTCACATGGGCGCAGGACGGGCTGGGGGACGCTTGGGGACACGCAGGCAGCAGCAAGGCGGGAGCAGGGGTGCGCACACGTGTGTGAGCTCACACGGCTGTGCGTGCACATGTACGGGTGTGCGCACGTGTGTGCACACGTGTCTGTGTGTGTGCACGTGTGTGTGAGTGCATATTATGTGTGTGCGCACAGGTATGTGCATGTGTGCACGTGTATGGACATGTACATGTATGTGTGCGTGCACATGTATGTGAGTGTGCGCGCATGTATGTGCGTGTGCACATGTAGGTGTGTGTGCACATGTAGGTGTGTGTGCACATGTGTATGTGCACATGTATGTATGTGCATAGGTTTGTGTGTACACATGTATGTGTGTGTGCACATGTATGTGTGTGTACATGCATGCATATATGCACATGCGTGTGTGCACGTGTGAACATGTATGTGTATGTGCACGTGTGTGTGCACATGTATGTGTGTGAGCACATGTATATGTGTGTGCACATGTATTTGCGTGTGCACATGTGTGTATGTGTACACATGTATGTCCGTGTGCACACGTGTGTGCGGGGCGTAGCGCGGCCCCTGCTGGGGGGCTCATGCTGGGGGGCGGTGGCAGGAGCAGGGGGTGGTCTGGGGGGCGTCGCCCTTGTGACGTCACGCCGTCACTCCGCTCACGTCAGAGGCTGTGGGGCTGCGCCGGGGGCAGGGTCCTGGTGCCTGCGCGTTCCCATCTCGGGGTGCCCCCCACGTCCCCCCCGCACATCCGGGCCCCCAGCACGGCCCCGCTCTGCCCCCTCCGCCACCCTCCCCCCCCTCTTTCCCCCGGTGCCTGCTGGAAAGCAGCGAACAACCCCGGGCACCCCCATCAGAGGTCACTTGTGGGGTGCAGGGATGCTGGGCCCCCCCCGGCCCAGAGCCCTCCCCTTCCCCGCTGCAGTTTCCCCTCCTGCCACCCCTGCGTGGAGGTGCCTGGGGGGGGACGTGACGTGTTGCACCCCAGGGATGGGTTTATGGGGCCAGGAAGTGAATGGGGGCCCTGTGGGGACGCCACGAGGCAGCCTTTGGGTGTGGGGTGGGAGCAAGGGGATGTGCCGAAAAATGGGGGGACACGGGAGGGGAACAGGGTGGGCGAACTGTGGGTACAGGGATAGGATGGGGGTGGAAGTAGTTGCAAACATGGAGGGGCGTATAGGGACAGGACGGGGGGATATGGGGACAGATTGGGGGGATGTGGGTACAAACACGGGGCGATACAGGGATGGGATGGGGGCACATGGAGACAAAATGATGAGGATATGGGGGAGATGTGGGTACAAAAGTGAGTCCAGAGGTGGGACTGAGGGGACACGGGGACAAAACCGGCGGGGTGCAAGGGCAGACAGGCATGGTGGGGGACGGAGATGGGGGCACTTGGGGACAGAGCTGGGGGGACATGGGGAGGACTTGGGAACAGAGATGGGAGAACGTGGGGACAGAGCAAGGGGGGGACGTGGGGACAGAGCCGGGGGTGTGAGCCCGGAGGAGCCGGGCTGCCGGGTGCGGGAGGGGCCCGCAGGGCATGCGGAGACGAGGGGGGTGTTGCGGGGGGGGGGGTCCCCGTGCCCGCGCCGAGGCGGCGGCGGTGAGGAAGAGGAAGAGCGAGCGCCGCTAAGACCCAGCGGGCTCTGCGGGCAGCGGGGCGGGCGGATCGCAGGCAGCGGCTCCATCACCAGCACAGAGAAAGGGGAAGAGGAGGCGGAGAAGGGAGGGAGGAAGGAAGCAGGGCCGGGCCCCCCCTCCCCGGAATGGACATGGCCTGACCGGGCCCCGCAGCCCCCCGCGGCCCGGTGCAGGTTTGCGGGCGGCGCCTGCCCCCCCCCCCCCTCCCCATGGCGCTGTAACCGGCGAGGGGCCGCGGCGAGCGGCGGCGGTGCTGGTGCCGGTGGTGCCGGCGGTGCTGGTGGCAGCGGCGGTTCCGGTGGTGCCGCGGCGGGCGATGCGCGGCACAGCCCCGGTGCCGGCATGCTGAGGACAGAGGCAGGCGGCGGGGGGGCCCCGTCCGCGGCAGCGCCGGGCGGCGGTGGTCTCCGGAGCGCATCCCCGCACCGGAATGCCTACGAGGCCACCATCCAGGCCCTGGCGCCCACAAAGGAGGCCGATGGTGAAGATGGCAAGAAAAGCCGGGGTAAGAAGTATGGCTCCAACGTTCATCGCATCAAGAACATGTTCCTGCAGATGGGGACAGCGCCCGGCCCCGAGGGCGCCTGCGACCTGGCCAAGGCCAAGGAGAAGCCGGTCTGTCTGTCCCTGCCCCGGGCTGGCAGCCTCAGCGAGAGCATGGACCAGGGCAGCCTCCTCAAGCTGGGCACCAGCGTCTCCGAGAGGGTCAGCCGCTTCGACTCCAAACCCGACAAACCCTTCTCCAAGCTGCAGGAGACCCGCAAGATCTTTGAGAGGAGCCCGCAGGAGAAAGCCACCACCACCAAGCTCTTGCTGCGTAAGGAACGCGCCGGGTTCCAGGACCGTAAGCTGGACGTGGTGGTGCGGTTCAATGGCAGCACCGAGTCCCTGGACAAGCTGGACACCGAGGCCGTGTCGCCCACCGTCAGCCAGCTCAGCGCTGTCTTCGAGAAGGCCGACCTGCGGAACAACCTGCACAAAGCGCAGGGGCGAGCGGTTGGAGCGCTGGGCACCAAGGTGATGGGCAAGCGGCCCCGGGTGTTCCTGCCGGGTGCCGAGGCTGCTCGGGCGGGCGATGGCCACGCTGCCCAGCCCCGCGCCCGGCCGCCAGAGGAGGAGAAGGCGGCGGGGAAGAGCGCCCGGGCGGCAGAGAAGGAGCCGCCGGCCCCGCGGGTGCAGGAGGTCTGCAAGATCAAGCCGGTGGAGGTGGAGGAGAGCGGCGAGGCCGAGGAGGAGGAGGCGGCAGCGGTGATGGAGCCGGTGGCCGTGCCCCAGCCGGCCGTGGGGACCCAGGACCTGGCGCCCGCCCCGTCCCAGCTGGACAGGGGCTCCGGTGTGGCCGTGGGTGAGGAGGGCGTCAAGGGAGAGCAGGCGGAGGAAGGCGATGGCTACGAGGAGGCCAAGAAGGAGGACTTCTCCGAGGCGGACCTGGTGGACATAAGTGCCTACAGCGGGCTCGGGGAGGACTCGGGGGGCAGCGGACTGGAGGAGGAGGAGGAGGCCGAAGGGCTCTATGAGCCCGAGTCAGGTTGTGTGGAGATCCCAGGGCTGTCCGAGGAAGAGGAGCCTGTCCCCAACCGCAAGATCCAGTTCAGCACGGCCCCCATCCAGGTGAGACCGCCTGGAGATGAGGGGGTACCCCATGGTCAGGGTACCCAAGGTTGGGGTACCCTAGGATGAGGGTACCCCGGGCTGGGATGTATGACCCCCACCCCTTTGGGGCAGCTGGTGCTGGGGATAGGGAGGTGTGGGGAGGTCCGTGGGCCCCAGCCCCCTGCCATGGGGCACAGCATCCCACTTGGTGCTGGGGGAAGGAGGCTCAGCACCCAGGCCTGGCTAACAGGTCACCTCATCAAGAGCCCTGGTGTGGCCTGAGGCCTCCCCCAGCCATAGAGGGGCCACCCTGGGGCTGGTGTGACAGGGGTGGGGGTGGCCCTGGGCCCCCCGGGGTGGTCGATGCGGAGCACCCAGAGCCAGCCCACTGCTCTGTCCAAGCCCCACCGCGTACTCTGGGTGGGATGCCTGATGTGTCCGGGTGCGGGTCCTGGCTCCTCTGCCCTTGGTCCCCAGTGGTCCCTTGGTGCCGGGGCTCCCCCCATACTGGGGGTCCCAGGCAATGGGGCAAGGGGTTGGGGGTTCTTTTCCCCACCATAGGCCCAGCCAGCAGCCAGCAGCGTTCCGGGAAGTGGAGGAAGGGGAAGTGGCGGCACGGCCGGGTGGGACGCAGCATTTCCCGTCCTCCCCATCCTTCCCGGCTTGGTTTGGGGGCTCCATCAGGGCTGGGGGGGGGGGGAAGAGGCCGTGCCGCTCTTTGGGGTGCGCTCTCCCGCTGGAATCCCCCCCGGCTGGAGCAGCCGCGGTCGCTTTGTGCTGGAGCTGGGTTATTTTTAGAGCTCGGCCTATATTCTGGCTCTGAGTCAGAGCGGGGGGGGTGGCCCCAGGGGGGACAGGGGACAGGGACCCCAGTGCCCAGGGCAGGACCATGTGCTAGGGGGTTGCACGCTGAGGGGGGGGGGGGGAATTGAACCCGTGGAACCAGCCAGGCAGGCCTTGAGAGGATGCCCCCTGCCATGGATGGGTTTTTGGGGTGCTCTGCTCTCCCCAGCACTTGCTTGTTTTAGCCATCTCCCAGCCCAGGGTGATGGTGGGGGTCCCGTGTGTACTGGTGGGGAGGAGACCCGCACCCATCGGGTGACATGCGGGACACATGCACCCGATGCGCAGGTGATGCTGAGCCACCCAAACAGGAGGGGTTGGAGCCAGGAGCGCTGGCTCCCCGCAGCACCAGCATGGGATGGGGCAGTCACCAGCAGCCTCTTCCCCTGGGCTCTGGCTGCTTCCCCCTTGGAACCCACGCATCCCAAGATGCCCAGGACCTGGTGACAAGGGTGGGGGCACTGCAGGGTGAGCCTGCAGCCCTGCAGCACCAGATAGAGCCATGTCCCGTGGCACCCCTGGGGGGTCCTACCCATCCGTGGGTCTCAAGACCTTTGTCCCTTGACGCTCATTCCTAATGCCCGTGTGGCAAGCCTTCAGTCTGTGGTGGGATCCCTAACCTGCTCGCCCCTCCGGGGCCATCTGCCAGGCTCAGCTCCAGGAGAGGGGTGCTGGCACCTCCTGGGGTGCAGGGCTATGGCACCCCCCCCCGCTGCCTCTGGCTCCTGGTGCACATCTGACCTCAGCCAGGAGCACGCCGGTGCCCAGCACGAGGGCACCCAGCGTGGGATGAGCCAGGGCCTGCCCCCAGCCCCCTCTGAGCTCCCAGGTGGAGACCCAAGGGAGGAGGTGACCCCCAGCTTAGGGTGGGCAGGATGGTGGGGTTGGGTTTCTGGGCCCTGGGCTTGCATGGAGGTGCCCAGGAAGGCTGAGGGGCAGGGAAGACTGAGGTGAGGCTGCCCCAGAGGGTCCTTCCCTGACCCATGGGGTTGGCAGTTGGAGCCATGAGAAGGTGGGCACAGGTGAGAGGAGAAGGGGAACAGGCCCAGTGTGCCTGCCCCAAACTGTGGCTGAGAGCAGCCAGTGCTTCCACACCCTGTCTGTCCGTCCACCCATCCATCCGTCCACCCATCCATCCATCCATCCATCCATCCCTCTGTCCATCCATTCATCCACCCATCCATCCGTCCACCCATCCATCCATCCATCCATTCATCCCTCTGTCCATCCATTCATCCACCCATCCATCCATCCATCCATCCATCCATCCATCCATCCCTCTGTCCATCGATCCCTCTGTCCGTCCATCCATCCGTCTGTCCATCCATCCATCCATCCATCCATCCATCCATCCATCCATCCATCCCTCTGTCCATCTGTCCATCCATCCATCCATCCATCCATCCCTCTGTCCATCCATCCCTCCTTGTGTCCATCCATCCATCCATCCATCCATCCATCCATCCATCCATCCATCCCTCTGTCCATCCGTCCCTCTGTCCATCCATCCCTCTGTCTGTCCATCCATCCATCCATCCATCCATCCATCCATCCATCCATCCATCCACCTGTTCCCCCATCTGTCCATCCATCCATCCGTCCATCCATCCATCCATCCATCCATCCATCCATCCATCCATCCCTCTGTCCATCCGTCTGTCCATCCATCCCTCCGTCTGTCTGTCCGTCCGTCCATCCATCCATCCATCCATCCCTCTTTCCATCCATCCCCCCTTGTGTCCGTCCATCCGTCTGTCCGTCCATCCATCCATCCATCCATCCACCTGTTCCCCCATCTGTCCATCCATCCATCCATCCATCCATCCATCCATCCATCCACCTGTTCCCCCATCTGTCCATCCATCCATCCGTCCATCCATCCATCCATCCATCCATCCATCCATCCATCCATCCCTCTGTCCATCCGTCTGTCCATCCATCCCTCCGTCTGTCTGTCCGTCCGTCCATCCATCCATCCATCCATCCCTCTGTCCATCCATCCCCCCTTGTGTCCGTCCGTCCATCCATCCATCCATCCATCCATCCATCCATCCATCCATCCATCCATCCCTCTGTCCATCCATCCATCCATCCATCCGTCCATCCCTCTGTCCAACCATCCCTCTGTCCATCCATCCCTCTGTCCATCTATCCGCCCTTGTGTCCATCCATCCATCCATCCATCCATCCATCCATCCATCCCTCTGTCCATCCATCCCTCCGTCCATCCATCCATCCATCCCTCTGTCCATCCATCCCCCCTTGTGTCCATCCGTCCATCCATCCATCCGTCCATCCATCCATCCATCCATCCATCCATCCCTCTGTCCATCCATCCCCCCTTGTGTCCATCCATCCATCCATCCATCCATCCATCCCTCTGTCCATCCATCCCCCCTTGTGTCCATCCATCCATCCATCCATCCATCCATCCATCCCTCCGTCCCTCCATCCCCCTTAACTCCCTGACATGACTTGGGGAGGGTTTCTCATAGGCTCAGTAACATCCCCGTGCCCCTGCCCTGGGCTCCCCTGCCCCAGGATGCCCTCATGGCCATGGGTGGGAGGCTGCCGCGTTGTCCCATCCCATCCCATCCCATCCCATCCCATCCCATCCCATCCCATCCCATCCCATCCCATCCCGCACCGCCCTGAGCAGCTCCGTGCACCCCTCAGGTCTTCAGCACTTACTCCAATGAAGACTACGACCGCCGCAATGAAGATGTTGACCCCATGGCTGCATCGGCTGAGTATGAGCTGGAGAAGAGGGTGGAGCGACTGGACCTCTTCCCTGTGGAGCTGGAGAAAGGTGGGTGCTCATCCCATCCTGCGCCCCGGGCCCTGCGGCAGCTTGGGGACTCCATTGGCGTTGGGTGGCCGGTGCCACCCTGCCAGGACACGGCTCTGTCCCTGCAGACTCGGAGGGGCTGGGGATCAGCATCATTGGCATGGGCGCGGGGGCCGACATGGGCCTGGAGAAGCTGGGCATCTTCGTCAAGACGGTGACGGAGGGGGGGGCTGCCCACCGGGACGGCAGGTAAAGGGCTCCCCAGCCCGAGGCCACCCCATGGCCTTGGGTGGTGATTGAGGAGCTGGTGCGGGAGCGGGCAGAGGGGGGCCCTGCTCTGAGGGGCTCTGTGTCCCCAGGATCCAGGTGAACGATCTCATCGTGGAGGTGGATGGCACCAGCCTGGTTGGGGTCACGCAGAGCTTCGCTGCCTCCGTCCTCAGGAACACCAAGGGCCGTGTCCGGTAGGGCCTGGGACTGGGGACCTGGGGGGACTGGGAGACCCCCCCAGCCCATGCTGGGCCCCCTGCAGCACCCTGCCCCATAGCCTGTACCCAGAGCACCTCAAACCCCAAGCTGGGCTGTTCCTCCGCCCCAAAATACCTCTATCCCCTCCAGTCCCATGCCTATTACCTGCCCTGGGCCACCCTAGTGCCCCCCCAGATCTTCTCACATCAGTCCAGGATCTCCCCCAGGCCCCAGCTTATCCACCCATAGCATCTCTGCACAGAGCACTGCCTGGCCCTCAGGGACGTTCCATGCCACTGGCATGTCCCCCACTACAGACCCCCATGGTCGCAGCCCCCCATCCCCACTGACCCCCCCCCATCCCCACTGCCCCCCCATCCCCACTGAGCCCCCCCACCCCCACTGAGCCCCCCATCACCACTGACCCCCCCCATCCCCACTGACCCCCCCCATCCCCACTCACACCCCCATCCCCACTGACCCCCCATCCCCACTGAGCCCCCCCACCCCCACTGACCCCCCATCCCCACTGACCCCCCCATCCCCACTGACCCCCCATCCCCACTGAGCCCCCCATCACCACTGACCCCCCATCCCCACTGACCCCCCCCATCCCCACTGACCCCCCCATCCCCACTGAGCCCCCCCACCCCCACTGAGCCCCCCATCACCACTGACCCCCCATCCCCACTGACCCCCCCATCCCCACTGACCCCCCATCCCCACTGAGCCCCCCATCCCCACTGACCCCCCCCATCCCCACTGACCCCCCCATCCCCACTGACCCCCCATCCCCACTGAGCCCCCCATCCCCACTGAGCCCCCCATCCCCACTGACCCCCCCATCCCCACTGAGCCCCCCATCCCCACTGACCCCCACCCCACTCCCCCCCATCCCCAATGAGCCCCCCCATCCCCCTCCCCACTGAGCCCTCCCATCCCCACTGAGCCCCCATCCCCATGACTGAGCCCCCCATCACCCCCAATGACCCCCATCCCCACTGAGCCCCCCCATCCCCACTGACCCCCATCCCCACTGACCCCCATCCCCATGACCCCCCGCCCACTGAGCCCCCCATCACCACTGACCCCCCCATCCCCACTGACCCCCATCCCACTCCCCCATCCCCACTCCCCCCATGAGCCCCCATCCCCACTGAGCCCCCCATCCCCACTGACCCCCCCACCCCACTGAGAGCCCCCCCATCCCCACTGACCCCCATCCCCACTGAGCCCCCCCACCCCCACTGAGCCCCCCATCCCATCCCCCCACTGAGCCCCCATCCCCACTGAGCCCCCAGTCCTCCCTCCAAGCCCCCACCCCAGGACCATCCCACTGAGCCCCATCCCCACTGAGCCCCCATCCCATCCCCACTGAGCCCTCCCATCCCCACTGAGCCCCCATCCCCACTAAGCCCCCATCCCCCCTGAGCCCCCACATCCCCACTGAGCCCCCCCATCCCCACTGAGCCCCCCATCTCCACCCTGAGCCCCCCATCTCCATTGAGCCCCCCATCTCCACTGAGCCCCCCATCCCCACTGAGCCCCCCATGACCCCCCCATCCCCACTGAGCCCCCCATCCCCACTGAGCCCCCCCATCCCCACTGAGCCCTCCCATCCCCACTGAGCCCCCCATCCCCACTGAGCCCCCCCATCCCCACTGAGCCCTCCCATCCCCACTGAGCCCCCCATCCCCACTGAGCCCCCCCATCCCCACTGAGCCCCCCATCCCCTGAGCCCCCATCCCCACTGAGCCCCCCCATCCCCACTGAGCCCCCATCCCCACTGAGCCCCCCCACCCCACTGAGCCCCCCCATCCCTCCCACTGCCCCCCATCCCCACTGAGCCCTCCTGTCCCAGCCTCCCATCCCCACTGAGCCCCCATCCCCACTGAGCCCCCATCCCCACTGAGCCCCCCATCCCCCACTGAGCCCCCATCCCCACTGTGCCCCCCATCCCCACTGAGCCCCCCCATCCCCACTGAGCCCCCCCATCCCCACTGAGCCCCCCCATCCCCACTGAGCCCCCCATCCCCACTGAGCCGCCCATCTCCATTGAGCCCCCCATCCCCACTGAGCCCTCCCATCCCCACTGAGCCCTCCCATCCCCACTGAGCCCCCCATCCCCACTGAGCCCCCATCCCCCACTGAGCCCTCCCATCCCCACTGAGCCCCCCATCCCCACTGAGCCCCCCATCCTTCCTGAGCCCCCCACCCCCACTGAGCCCCCCCATCTCCATTGAGCCCCCCATCCCCACTGAGCCCCCATCCGCACTGAGCCCCGCATCCTGCGCAGGTTCCTCATCGGTCGGGAGAAGCCGGGGGAGCAGAGCGAGGTGGCGCAGCTGATCCAGCAGACGCTGGAGCAGGAGCGCTGGCAGAGGGAGATGCTGGAGCAGCGCTACTCCCAGTACCCGGAGGATGACGAGGAGGTGAGGGGCTCACGGGCCGGGTTCCGCACCCGCTGCCTCAGTTCCCCCAGGCTGAGGGTGCCGGGCTGGGGCCACCGCTCATGGGCAAACCCTGGCCCGTGCCTGCCGCAGACGGGTGAGTACGCCACGGATGAGGAGGAGGAGATGAGCCCCATGTTCCCCAGCGGCGAGATGGCCATTGAGGTGTTCGAGCTGGCCGAGAATGAGGACACGCTCTCACCGGTGGAGATGGACCCCGAAAAGCTGGTGCACAAGTTCAAGGAGGTGCAGAGGGGCTGCAGTGTGCTGGGGGGTACAGGGGTAGCAGGGGGTGCCCAGGGGTACCAGGGGGTGCTGGGGGTACTGGGGGATGCTGGGAGTGCCAGGGGTACCGGGCGTACCAGAGGATGCTGGAGTGTCAGGGGTACAGGGGTACCAGGGGGTGCTGGGGGTGTCCAGGGGTATCAGGGGGTACCAGGGGATGCTGGGAGTGCCAGGGGTACAGGGGTAGCAGGGGGTGCTGGGGGTGTCCAGGGGGTACCAGGGGGTACCAGGGGGTGCTGGGGGTGTCCAGGGGTACAGGGGTGCCAGGGGGTGCTGGGGGTGCCAGGAGTACTGGGGTACCAGGGGGTGCCGGGGGTACAGGGGTACAGGGGTACCAGGGGGTGCCAGGGGTGCTGGGGGTGTCCAGGGGTACAGGGGGTACCAGGGGATGCTGGGGGTGCCAGGGGTAGAGGGGGTACCAGGGGTTGCTGGGGGCGTCCAGGGGTACCAGGGGGTACCAGAGGATGCTGGAGTGTCAGGGGTACAGGGGTACTGGGGGGGGTGCTGGGGGTGCCAGGGGTACAGGGGTACCAGGAGGTGCTGGGTGTGCCAGGGGTACCAGGGGGTACCGGGGGGGGTGCCAGGGGTACAGGGGTGCCAGGGGGTACTGGGGGGGTGCTGGGGGTGCCAGGGCACTGTGCCCCCCGTGGGGACGTGTGAAGGGCCGCTTCCTCTCGCAGCTCCAGATCAAGCACGCTGTCACTGAGGCTGAGATCCAGCAGCTCAAGAGGAAGGTGAGTGGGTGCCCTGGCTCTCCTTGGGCAGGAAGGACCCCCCCTCATTCTGCCCTGAGCCCCCTCCTCCACCTCCATCTCCCCCATCCACTCCTAGCTCCCCACATGTACCCCAGAGCCCTCACCATGCTGTGCCGTGCTCTGCCTGCTCTTGGCCATGCTCTGCCGTGCCGTGCCGTGCCGTGCTGTGTCAGTCATGTCATGTCACACTTTGGACCTCATCGTCCTTCCAGTGCCTGAAGGGAATCTGCAAGGATGCTGGAGAGGGGCTCTGCATCAGGGACTGGAGTGACGGGACAGGGCTGGGGGGGTCAGACTGAAACAGGGGAGATTTAGGTTGGAGATAAGGAAGCTCTTCCCTGTGAGGGTGCTGAGGCGCTGGCACAGGGTGCCCAGAGAAGCTGTGGCTGCCCCATCCCTGGCAGTGCTCAAGGCCAGGTTGGACACAGGGGCTTGGAGCAAGCTGCTCCAGTGGAAGGGGTCCCTACCCATGGCAGGGGTTGGAGCTGGAGGAGCTTTAAGGTTCCCTCAACCCGAACCCTTCTGTGATTCCATGGTTCCCTCCTGCCATGCCTGCTCCTCGCCTGTGCTGTACCATGCCGTGCTGTGCGGTGTCGCGCCCATTCCCTGCCTCTGCCGCGCTGTTCCGTACCGTGTCATGCCTGTCCCTGGCCGTGCCGTGTCCTGACCCTGCTGCCCTCAGCTGCAGAGCCTGGAGCAGGAGAAGGCACGCTGGAGGGCCGAGAAGGCGCAGCTGGAGCAGAGCGTGGAGGAGAACAAGGAGCGGATGGAGAAGCTGGAGGGGTACTGGATGGAGGCGCAGAACCTCTGCCAGGCTGTGGACGAGCACCTCAAGGAGACCCAGGCTCAGTACCAGACCCTGGAGCGCAAGTACAGCAAGGCCAAGAGGCTCATCAAGGAGTACCAGCAAAAGTGAGGGCAGCGCCAGGCTATGGGCACCCATCCATCCCCATGGGCATGATCCATCCCGAGGGTACACATCCACCCCCATGGGCACTGAGATCCCGGTGGCACCATCCCCTTCCCGGGCACCCCTTGCCCCTGGGCAGACCATTGGGTATGAGCCACCCCATGGGCATGGATCAATGCTGTTGGCACGGACTCACCTGTGGGGCGCTGACCCCTTCATGGGCGCCCATTGTCCTTGGGCATGGACCATCCGTTGGGCACGAACCTTTCGCCAGGGCACCAGGGTTTTCCTGGGCATCCCCCATGCCCTGGGCAGGGACGTTCCCCTCTGGGCACAAACCCATTCATGTGGCCCCAAACCCCTCCTGGGCACCCTTCACCCCCCCGAGCAGGGACCTTCCCTTGGGTAGGGGCCTTCCCCTTGATGTGGAAGCATCCCCTGGGCACCAGCTCCTTCCCGCTCCCTCCCACCCGAGCCCCAGCTCCATGGGGTGTCCCCAGTGCTGGGAGGTGGGGGGGGCCGGGGCAGGCACCCACTCACTGGTCCCGCAGGGAGATCGAGTTCCTCAAGAAGGAGACGGCGCAGCGGCGGGTGCTGGAGGAGTCGGAGCTGGCGCACAAGGAGCAGATGGAGAAGCTGCAGGAGAAGGTGGGCACCGGGCGCCGGGACGCGGGCTGCCCCTGAGCCCCGCCGCCGTCACGCCGCTCCCGCCACGGCCCATGGCTCCCCATGGCTCCCCATGGCCTCCGGTCGCCGCTGGATCCCAGGATGGGTCGCAGCAGATCTGCTCGGGCGCCCAAGCCGCTGGATCCCGCCGCGGGCAGCAGCGGAGCTGCCGGAGGCGCTGGCTCCCCTCCGGACTGAGCTCCGGCCGCGGGATCCCAACGCCGGATCGCGGTGGATCTGCTTTCGGCACCGGGATCCCACCGGATTTGTGCTCTGGATCGCAGTGGATCTGCTCAGGCGCTGGCGCACGCCCGATCCTCCTCCTGGCACTGGATCCCACACTGGATTGCAGTGGATCTGCCGAGGGTTTGGGGTTCACTGGATCCTGCCTCAGGGTCTGACCTCCCATAATGGATCAAAAGGGATTTTCTTGGGCACTGGATCCCAGGCTGCTTGCGCGGGACCCCGCAGTGGTTCCCTGTTGATGGGCATGAGGCATGGGGCCGCACTGGATCCTCTGTTGCGACCTGGATCCCATGCTGGTCATGCTGGATCCCACAACAGAGCGCGCTGGATTCTGCGCCAGGGGCTCCCCTGCAGCAGGCAGGGATCACCGGATCCCCCGGGATCCTGCAGCACTGCCGTGGGTTGCAGCGGGGGGCTCATGGGCACCAGGGTGCAGGGGAGCACGGGGAGGACCCCTGGTTCAGAGCTGAGCCCCACATGTACCCCCCCTCCCGGCACCCTCAAAAGGTCCCTGACACCCCCCAGAGGCTCACCCATCGCTGCCTGCAGCCCCCAGGGCCCAGCCCTGTGTCCCCCAGCACCCCAACCCTTGGCCCTGTGTCCCTATCCCATTGTCTCCCACCGCCCCAGCACCCCCATGTCTTGCCCCCCCTTGACCTGCCCTTCCCATCCCTGTATCCCCATCCCTATGTCCTCTCACTTGTCCCCTACAGTCCTGTCCCCCCACTACACGTTCGCATCCCTGTCCCCGTGTGTCTCCCCTGTCCCCGTGTGTCCCCCCTGTCCCTGTGTGTCCCCCCGTCCCCGTGTGTCCCCCCTGTCCCTGTGTGTCCCCCCTGTCCCCGTGTGTCCCCCCTGTCCCTGTGTGTCCCCCCTGTCCCCGTGTGTCCCCCCTGTCCCCGTGTGTCCCCCCTGTCCCTGTGCCCCCCCGTCCCCGTGCCCCCCGTCCCCGTGTGTCCCCCCTGTCCCCGTGTGTCCCCCCTGTCCCTGTGTGTCCCCCTGTCCCCGTGTCCCCGTCCCCGTCCCCTGTCCCCGTGTGTCCCCCCTGTCCCTGTGCCCCCCCGTCCCCGTGCCCCCCCTGTCCCCGTGTGTCCCCTCTGTCCCCGTGTGTCCCCTGTCCCGTGTGTCCCCCCTGTCCCTGTGCCCCCCCTGTCCCCGTGTGTCCCCCCTGTCCCTGTGCCCCCCTGTCCCCGTGTGCCCCCCCTGTCCCCCCTGCTCCCCTGTGCCCCCCCCGTCCCCGTGTGTCCCCCCTGTCCCCGTGTGTCCCCCCTGTCCCCGTGTGTCCCCCTCTCCCTGTGTGTCCCCCCTGTCCCCGTGTGTCCCCCCTGTCCCCCCTGCTCCCCTGTGCCCCCCCCGTCCCCGTGTGTCCCCCCTGTCCCCGTGTGTCCCCCTGTCCCCGTGCCCCCCCTCCCCGCTGAGACCTCTCCCTTTGCTGTTTTTCAGATCTCCGAACTGGAGGCCAAGCTGCAGACTTTGAAAAATTCCAACCCGACTTAAGTCACCCTCAAACCGCAGCGATCCTGGGGGGGGGGCTCCCTGCCCCCCAAGTCCTCTCCCTGCCCCCCTCCCCAAAACCTCTTCCCCATCCGGGAGGAGCTGAGACCCTGCCAAAGCCTCCTGGTGCCCCGACCTCCCCCTGCGGGCACAGACTTGGGGGGGGGGGAGGGAAATGGGGGGACACACCCCACCTTAGTGTCTGTGTCCAGTGTGAGTCTCGTGGTAACGTGATGGACAGATTGGGGGGGGGAGCGCCCCCCCCCAGGCTCCCCCATCTCCCCTCGACGTGATGCCCTTCCCCCCCCCAGACCCAGAGCTGGCACCTGGTTGGACACTTGGGGGGGGACGGAACAAAAACCCCCCCCCCAATGTGAGCTATATTGGAGAGCAAAGGGGGGCTACACTGGAAGTCCCCCCCATCCCCAGCTCCTCTTGGGACTCACCTAAAGCTTGGTTGGGGGCGGTTGCCTTTGGGTCCCTCTCGCGTCCTTGATCCCAGCCCCACAGTGGGGTGCCCCCCCCACCATGGTTGGGTGTGGAGAGGGGGGGCTTCAAGTGCCCTCCCCCCCCCCCGTGGACAGGAGGGACCCTCTCAGCCTTTGCCAGCCCCTGCAGTGGGCATGGGAGGGGCCTGGACTCCCACTTGTAGGGGGGCACGGCCCGGGGGGCTGCCCCCCAGCACCCACTTCCCCCCCAAGCCCAGGGCTTTCGCCTTCCTGGGCGGGGGGGGGGACACACACGGGGGTCCCCCTCCAGGGTGGGGGCGATGCTCTCACCCCCCCAACTGTAAATACCCCCCTGTCCCCCAATAAATCCCAGTATTTCTCGGGGCTGGGATGCCCTCACCACTGGTCACCCCCAGACGGGTCGGGGGATCCCGGACCCTCGGCCCGGGGGGGGGAACTCCTTTATTTTTTATTTTTATTTTGACCCCCTCCCTGTTGTCCTCCCCCCTCCCCCTGTCGTGCCCCCCCCCCCCCCCGAAGTCTCCGACAGTAACTGGATGTGGGGGTAACTGGGAGCCAGAGCTGGTTATACTGGGAGGGGGAGGAGGGAGGCACGCTGGGGGTGAGGGGGGGTCCGACTGGATTGGAGCCGCTCGGGGGGGGGGGGGAAGTATTTAAGGGGGGGGACGGGCCCCGGAGGGGTGCTGGGTTATTTAAGCTCACAGTGTACCGTGTATATACTATATATATATCTGTACAATGGAGGCACTGGCCCTCGTTTGTTACGGCCCCGGGCCCTGGTCTGCGGGCACTGGGAGCACTGGGGAGGATGGGGGGCATTGAGGGGACTGGGAAGAACTCGAAGACCACAGGGGGCGCTGGGGAGACTTGGGCAAGTGGAGGGACTGGGGGGTCCGGGGGGCTGGTAGCGCTGGGAACACTGGGAAGGATGTGGGACACTGGGGAAGACTGGGTGCATGGGGAGCACTGGGTAAAAACTGGGAGTTCACTGGGAAGATCCGGGAGAGCGCTGGAAGGACTGGCAGCACAGGGAAGGACGGCGTGAGTGGGAGCAGTGGGGGGTCTGGAACAGTGGGAAGGGTGAGGGCGCTGGGAAGCATGGGGGGCACTGAGGGGACTGGGAAGGACTGGAGGGGCTGCGGACACTGGCAGCGACAGCTCAGGGCACACCCGGCGCTGTCCGTTCAGTACCGCCAGGCAGAGCAGAGCCGGGACGGGCGGCTCATCCCGGCCCCTTCGCCGATCCTGCCCCACTGCGCCGCGGCCCCCAGCGCTGCCCCGGCGCCATCGGCCGGGCGGCGGGAGGGGATCAGGATGCCCAAGGAGAGCAAATGAATGGCAGAACGCGGATGCGCAAAGCCCGGGATGGGCCATCAGCCACCAGAGAGCGGCAGGGCACGGGCACAGCCCCAGCCCCAGCCCGGCCGCCGTAAATTCCCTCCTTCCTCTGGTGCCCCCTCGCGAGCGTCCTGGAGCACAGTGTGCAGTGCATGAACGTCCGGCCCCTGCTGCCAGAGCCGAAGAGCCAGGAGGGCGATCTGGTGCTGGGGATGCTCAGCACACAGGGAGCTCCGCAGCGGTGCCACCATCATTGCTGTCGCTCCTTGCTTTCCCACCTAAACCCAATTACGCGCAACCCCTCCGGCGCCCTCTCGCGGCCATCCTGCAGCACAGCGGCAGAGCAAGAACGCCCGGTCCCTGCTACCGCAGCCGAAGGGCCAGGGCAGTAAAGCTGCTGCTGAGCCTTGCCTACACTCGATGAGCTCCGCAACGGTGCCACTGAACGCTGCCATACAGGACACGCTGGAACTTCACTGGGAACCTGTTGGAGTGGGAGACGGGCCCGGAGTAACGGTAGAATCTCGATATGAGTATGATCGTTCTCCTTTATTGCACAGGCTCACCTAATTTATACCATTGGTGATAGTTTACGTGACAGCTGTACATCTTTCACTGGCTACATAAACCTGTCCACGCGCCCGTCTGTACATTGCTGTTGGCTAAGCTAAGTTTTACACACATATCTCTGCAGCAGCAGGGTGCGTGCCTTGCGATAAGCGGTGCATTCCTTGTGGCCAGCAAGCTCCTGTTGCAGCGTTCTGCTTACATTTCTTTGACTCCAGGCCTCCTCGGCTCAGCTGAGTCAGAGAGAGTTCAAGGCTGTCTCAGCTCTAATCCTGGGTTGTGCAGGCCCTCGTGAGAATCAGAATTTATGTTACCTAACCACTGCTCCACAGGAACCTGTCGTGGTTTAAACCCAGCCAGCCAGAACCCAGGACAGAACCGCAGATCAGGGCAGCCAAGTGGGATGGCACAATTGATACCGCAGTGCATTGTCTCAATCCCGGCTGGCAGCGTGAATCAGAAGTGGGATCCAGCAGGGCCAGCATCCAGCTGCTGGCAGTCCCTGGCCCCAACCCTGCCCAGGCCTGGGGGACCCGGCACCCTCCACTCTGCAGTGGCTGCCCCAGGCACAGCTCGGCTGGCTCCAGCGCAGAGCTCCTCTCCTGTGGAGTCCCCATGTCCTCCCAGGCCACCCTGGGGCAGCTGTGGGGTCTCTCTGCCCCCCTGCCTCATCTGCCATGGCCCTCAGTGGGAACGGAGGCACTTGCTGGACCTGCTGCTGCTCACCTGAAGGGAAATGGACTTGGAGCTGTGACTCACTGTGCTTCACAGGGGAATGGTTCAGAGAAGTCAGCCCTGTGGGGATAACTGAAGGGACCTTATTAATGACCAATGGTAATTAATCAGGGACTGAATTAAAATCAAATGGGAATCCAATGGTGATTTAGAAATAATTGAATTTTAATTCAACTGTGAATTCACAATGATTTGAAGATGATGTAAATGATAATTTAGATGATGACTTAGACAATGAGTTTGCCTTCCAGTATCTGGTTGATGCTTACAAGAAAGCTGGAGGGGAATTCTTTACAAAGGCATGTAGTGATCAGACAAGTGGGAATGGCTTTAAGTTGGCAGAGGGGGGTGAATGAGATGAGACCTTAGGAGGAAGTTCTTCCCTGTGAGGGTGGTAGGACACTGTCACAGGTTGCTCAGAACAATATCCGCCCGGCAGCGGGTGTATTCCTGATTCAAGGCATGCAGAGAGGCAGCTCTGCCTGGATTTACCAGAGATTTACGGCAGATTTGATGAGAAGGAGGGAAATTCTATTTAATAAGGGTCAGGACTGAGTAAATGCTCCCTGCTTGTGGCAAGATTGGAGTAAAAATAACTAATGAACCCCCAGTTTGCCAGATTTGGGTGGGATTTGGGCTGCTTTGACCCCTAAAGCACCTCCAATGCATCCTCGGCACCCACAGAGCATCGCAGGGATACCCCTAGAGAATCCCAGAGAATGCCTGGAGCACCTCCAGAGCATCCCATGGATCCAACCATCACAGTGACCATGGCGACATGGGGACCACAGGGGTGGCTGATTCTGGAACTCCGTGTGTTCACGTGTGTGAGGCCACGGAACCCCACGGAACCCATCACCAGAGGCACTGGTAGACGACAGCTGCCCCACAGAACACAAGCTACCGGTGGAGGAGGCAACAGTGACTGCCCCAGAGTGGCTGCTTTGGACTCGGTGTGCGAGCTGTGCTGGGTGACCTGGCAGCGGAGCGCTGTGGCTGCCGTAAATCCTGAGATCTCCCCTCACTTCTTGTGGGGAGAACAAGGGCCTGTGGGGATGGGACAAGGGGGAATGTCTTTCACCTGACAGAGAGGGGAGATTGAGGTGGGATCTTAGAAGTTCTTCCCTGTGAGGGTGGTTGGACACTGGCAGAGGGTGCCCAGAGAAGCTGTGGCTGCCCCATCGCTGGCCATGTTCAAGGCCAGGTTGGACACAGGGGCTTGGAGCAAGCTGCTCCAGTGGAAGGGGTCCCTGCCCGTGGCAGGGGTTGGAGCTGGAGGAGCTTTAAGGTCCCTCCTAACCCAAACCATTTCATGCTTGTGACATCCTCAACACTCAATTTGTGGCAGTGTCTATAATTTAACAACTGTGGACATTCAGTATCAGTTCGCTCCTTCTCACAGCCATTTTCCCTGACCAGAGGGGCTGAGGACGGCCCCTGCCTGGGTCCCCATACCCTTGGGGAGGGAGCATCCTGGAGGGTAGATTTTGTCTAGTTAAGCCCACCAGCACTTTTGGATCACTGACTAATGCTGCGCTTGAGCATTTTGGGCAGCTCCGCACTGCCCCAGTCCTGCCAGCCCATCTGTGCTAAGCACTTACAATCAACTGAGGGAAGCAGAGTAATGAAGACATACATAATCAACTTAAAATGCTCACTAATACTAAGACCATAAATGATAGAATCACAGAGGATCTCCCTACCGAGCACAAGAGCACGTGTCCTGTCTTTCACACTGCTACCTCGTGTGCTCTTCAAGATGCCTTCCTGAGCTTAGGTGGTTTACTTTTAATGCTTATTTCTATTGAAGGTGGCTTGGATCCTACTAAACCTTAAAGCTGTCTTAATGGAATTAGAGAAACCCAAGCTGGATCTACCAATTTTTAACTAAGTCACCTGTTAGAAACGTGCATGCCAGGAGGTAAACTGCTCTTTTGTTAGATTTATTCTCAATTACCTGTACACGGATGCTGGTTTGGGGCTGCAGCTGTGGAGCTACTGGTGACTCATGTCCAATGCAAGTGGGTGTATTCACTGGCAGGAGATGTCTGCATTCAGGATGTGTTGCCATCTGAAGCAAAAGCCACATCATATAATGTCATTAAGTTTATCAAGAGGTTTTCAGTATTTCCCTGGTTACCGTCTGCAGCAGCAAAGTCACTAGAAACAGAGCAACTGATAGCCACAGCTGCTGGTACGGATCCGTACATAGCAAAGGCTATTGAGAAAACAGGAAGACAACTGCAAAGAGTGACTTGACTGACAACTAAAACTAGGCCGGAAAGGTACTAAGTTAGTTTTCAGTAAAATTAAAAGCTGCTATCAACTGTGGGAGTAGAAATCCTCCCAATTATGGACCTTATCTAAAAAGGTGGTGAATATTCTCAGTCATCACTTGAAACTACATTGCCCTGGACAACACATCTTTCTGATGATATAGGGGAAAAATTACACCACTGACTTGTTAGATCAGGTGGTTATCTCCTGGGAAGACCTGGGACAAGACAGTTACAGACATCACTGTAAAAACTTGGTGCTCTTACATATATGCCCACATCCGCCACCATTCAAGGTTTCAGGCATGAAGGATCTTTTACAGCTATGACACAAGCAGTAGTTACTAACTGCACTACTTAGCACTGAACAAGATGCAGATGCAGGTCCTGAAGATGCGGTGGTTGTTGTTTCAACATGAAGAGGAACCTGAATTTGGTCATGTTTCCTGACACTGGCGAATTAAAACTATTTACTTTTCCAGTCTTACTAACATATCTGGCACTTGAAGGAATCTGGGGGTCATTTTGGCCATCATTTAAGAATTACATCCAGTGCTAAAGGTACTGAACAAAATCACAGAATTCCAGAGCGGTTTGGGCAACAAGAGACCTTAAAGCTCCTCCAGCTCCAACCCCTGCCACGGGCAGGGACCCCTTCCACTGGAGCAGCTTGCTCCAAGCCCCTGTGTCCAACCTGGCCTTGAGCACTGCCAGGGATGGGGCAGCCACAGCTTCTCTGGGCACCCTGTGCCAGCGCCTCAGCACCCTCACAGGGAAGAGCTTCTGCCTAAGAGCTCAGCTCAGTCTCCCCTCGGGCAGGTTCAAGCCATTCCCCTTGGCCTGTCCCTACAGGCCCTTGTCCCAAGCCCCTCTCCAGCTTTCCTGCAGCCCCTTTAGGCACTGGAGCCGCTCTGAGGTCTCCCCTTCAGGAGCCTTCTCTTCTCCAGGCTGCCCCAGCCCAGCTCTCTCAGCCTCTGGTGTTTATCTCCGGGGCTGTGGGTGAAGGCCAATGATCCACAGAGGATGTGGATGAGAAATTAATAAAATATGCTATACTTTCACGAACTGTTTTCTGCAGTCAAGCCAAAATGCAGCAGTTGAAGAGCTTGATCTTGGAAGCACTCAAGACTGCTACCATGTAGGAAATAACTCGTATGCCAGTACTACTGCTTCAGTGCATCAAATTAAGTGCAAGTAGAGCTGGTGCTTCAAAACACGTTGGTTACATTTCTAAGTTCCTTAACGAAATGTGTTCTCATCAAAATCATCACGAAACGCAAACAAAAATCTCGAGGCTCAAAGTTTCACAGGGACACCTAAGAGAAGTTTTTACCTGGATTCAAAGCTCTTACTCAGACCGGATTTCATTTCTAGAAGAGCATTTGCATCTACTTCATGGTTAGCCTTCCCTGGAAGAGGGATTCCAAGTGGGACCACCCGAGGAACGGGCACACAGCCAGCCACCACTTTCTCCACAGTGCTCTTGAGAGAAGAAAAACAGAAAGGCAGACAATAATGTTTCTGAACAGAAGAATGCATTGAGAGATACGGTCTTTTCATGGCATTCCTGCCTTCACTTGTTTCTCTTAAAAGAGAGAACACCAGATTCTTTAAAGTGTTATTCCTCATGGCATGATTTTCACATTGGAAAAGAGCAAGGTCCCAACAACCATCCCAATTCCAACTTACTCTCCTCTTGCAGAACTGTGAACAAAGCTTGAGATGAGCACTGCTGCTTTCATTTCACTTTGACCTTCCTTGCTCAAGTCCGGTTCCCACGTGTCCCAGGGAAACAGCTTTAGCATCATGCATCAATGACACCTGATAGGAGTGAGTAACAGGGAAGTCCCTCCACCCTAGTGGCACATTGGAGACAGCCTCTTGTTTCACTGCAGCTACCTGAAGAGATACAAGACGTCCTGCAAAGGGCTAAAGCAAGACAGCCGTTGCTTCAGCTTATCTCAGTTTCTGTAGGCATCATGAATATACCTATAAACAGGTGCCAGACATGATTTATCATAATTTACAGAGGCATTACCGTGTCACACGATTCAAGACTGACAAACTGCATTTGCATACACTAACATTTTGCAATACAAAACGATGGACTCCAGATCTTGGGAACCGGTCCGCAGGGCCAGGAACAATGCCTGCACTGCAAGTGTTTCCTGCTGTAACCAACCTTTTAATCCTCCAGCCACACCTCTTACACTGCTCAGCAATGCAGACAGCACTGATTCAGCACGGCAGGGTTCCTCACTCTGCTCTGTCTGGGGCTATGCTGAGAGCAGCCCCAGCGCTGTCTGCAGGTGCCCGTCTCCTTGGCTGGGTTGCCCCAGAGCAGTGGCTCAGGACGGGGGCAGTTCTCAGCCAAACTCTCTTGGGCTGCACACACACGGTGTGCACGGGACACACAAGGGGGGGGGCTCAGACCTTTACCTGATGGGAAGGGGCAGCGAGCAGCTTTCCTCAAGGAGCCGCCTGCTCCTGGCACCCCTGCACCAGAAGCACAGGACCTCAGTTCAGCCTCCGGAGAGCCCAGACCTGCTGGGACACAATGGTCCTGCCCCATGCCCAGCCCCTGCCCCAGCCTGGGCTCCAGCCCTGCCTGCACCTCCCCTGCTGGGTCAAGGCCCCGCTCCCCTCCCTGTGCCCTCCTGGCACAGCCCAGCCCAGCCCACTCCGCTGCATCCCCCCGTGCCCCCTGCCCCCCTCACCCCGCTGCATCCCCCCCGTGCCCCCTGCCCCCCTCACCCCGCTGCATCCCCCCGTGCCCCCTGCCCACCTCACCCCGCTCCATCCCCCCGTGCCCCCTGCCCACCTCACCCCGCTGCATCCCCCCCGTGCCCCCTGCCCACCTCACCCCGCTCCATCCCCCCCGTGCCCCCTGCCCACCTCACCCCGCTGCATCCCCCCCCGTGCCCGCGAGGTCCCATCTGGGTCGCCAAAATGCCCACCTCACCCCGCTCCATCCCCCCCGTGCCCCCTGCCCCCCTCACCCCGCTCCATCCCCCCGTGCCCCCTGCCCCCCTCACCCCGCTGCATCCCCCCGTGCCCCCTGCCCCCCTCACCCCGCTGCATCCCCCCGTGCCCCCTGCCCCCCTCACCCCGCTGCATCCCCCCCGTGCCCCCTGCCCCCCTCACCCCGCTCCATCCCCCCCGTGCCCCCTGCCCCCCTCACCCCGCTGCATCCCCCCGTGCCCCCCTGCCCCCCTCACCCCGCTGCATCCCCCGTGCCCCCTGCCCCCCTCACCCCGCTGCATCCCCCGTGCCCCCTGCCCCCCTCACCCCGCTCCATCCCCCCCCGTGCTCCCCCTCCACCCCGCTGCATCCCCCCCGTGCCCCCTGCCCCCCTCACCCCGCTGCATCCCCCCGTGCCCCCTGCCCCCCCTCACCCCGCTCCATCCCCCCCGTGCCCCCCCCCCCCCCCCTCACCCCGCTGCATGCCCCCGTGCCCCCTGCCCCCCTCACCCCGCTCCATCCCCCCCGTGCCCCTGCCCCCCTCACCCCGCTGCATCTCCCCGTGCCCCCTCCCCACCTCACCCCGCTCCATCCCTGCTGCGGCCCCGCCCACCCCGCTCCTGCCTGGCCCTCCCCGCCCCCCCCGTGCCGCCGGCTCTGACGTCATCCCCCCGCGCCGCCCGCTGTCATGGCGGCGGTGCAGGAGGAGGGCAGCCGCAGCCGCAGGTTCCTGCCCAGAGCCCCAAGGGCTGGAGCTCACCCGCGTCTGCCCCGGGAGCAGGGCCAGGCCCCGCAGCTCTGCCGAGCCCTGCTCCCACTTGATGGGGGCATCGGAGCGCCCCACACAGCGCAGCATGGCCTGGGCCATTGCCCTGGCTCCGGCAGAGTCGCCACTGCCTTGGGAAGCTGCCAGCGAGCACCAGGAGCTGAGAAGCGGCTGCAGAAGGGCTCTGCTGGGGGGCTGAAAGGGAAAGGAGAGGCTGCAGAGCCTCAGCCCTGGGGCTTCTTTCAGGGGAGGTGGAGCCACACTCAGCGTGATTCTTAAAGCCAGCTCACATCCGGCCTGAGGTGGGGGGTTTGGCTTGGGGGTTCTTTCCAATACACGTGTTTCTGGATGTGTTTCAGAGCAGAACCTGGATCTCAGTGCTGGGAATAAATCCCTGGAAAGCTTGCCAGTTCTTGCTGCACAGGGTTCAGCTCTGACAGTTCTTTTTCTGATGCTTAGCCGCAAACTTAAAATGAGTTCAGATTTTTTATATAGGCTGCATAAAGGTTTGTTTATTTCTTCATTGTCTTACATTTTGGTGTTTGGGCTTTTGTTGGGTTGTTGGTTTGGGTTTTTTTGTGTTTTTGTTGGTTTGGTTTTTCCCAATACTTGTGCAGTTTTATCTCAGGGTTGGATGGAACCTTCATGGAGACCCTGCTGCCCGGATACCGGAGTGTCCGGAGGTGAACTCACCCCCAGCCGGCAGTGCGGATCATCAGGGCCCAGGTTCTGGGGAGACGCTGGCTCAGGGAGTCGGCTGTGTCCCATCTGCCTTGACAAACTGCCACCACAACCCGCAAGTGAACCCGTGCCCACTGCGCCCAGAGCCTGGGATGCAAAGCACAGAATTACAGGGGTGTCCCAGACACACTGGGGAACCCCAAATGTGGTTTTACACAGGGTTCTCGCACCCTTCATATGGTTACGTACCACACACTTGGACCAAGCACTAGTGTTAGCGTAAGAACTGACACAAACCACCAGAATGGTTATATGAGGTGCTTTATTGCAGCGCTGGGAAACCAGGGGCATGCGCCCAAATCTGACTTTGACCCCTGTCACATCGTGTCCGCAATTTAGACACTATTCACTACAGATTACATCATTGACTAATACATATGCATCAAGGATTAGCACATCAGTCTGTTAGGACATCAGCCTCCTCTGCACTTGCGCAGCCCCCTCTGGTGGTCGTCCTGATGAAGTAAGGAGTCTTCCTCGGATGAAGTAGGAAGTCTTCCTCGCTCTGTCCTTTTCACCTTTCCGTTCTTTGGACATGTCCCAACCATTATGTGGACGCCAGCATTCTCTTATCTTCCCTAGGTTCTGCTTGGGTGGAGTTTCACAATATGCTTCTCTAAATTCACCCATATACCCTTCACCGTATATGGGTATGTTAGCTCTTGCTACCAAGACTACCATTGTAACATTTGTTATAGAGTAACCATGATACGAGACCGCAAACCAAGCTACAAAGTTACAACATTTCCTAATACACAAAACCAGACTATTGATTTATAAATTTCTCTAATCATTTCTACTATTTTATATGATTATTTTATCTTAGAAACTTCGCCCTTTTCTAACACTAGCACCCTCACTACCACTTACTAGTCCTAGTCCAGCTCTGCCAGGCGCTCATGGTACTTCTGCTGCAGTCCTGCTCTTGTCTATTGATGCAGATGCCCCTGGACCAGTCCTGCAGGAGACACTGATTAATGGTGTGCGGGACAGTGGGAGGGTTTCAAAGACATGCTGGAGGGGCTGGGATTCTGCCATTATTTCTGCTGTGCTGCAATACCCCTTCTCCTTCACAGACAGCTCTAAGATACCCTTAAGAAAAGTCCTAGTTCCAGGGCTGGGATGAAGCTTTGAGTAAAAATCCACCACCTCATCACATTACAGTGTACATACAAATATATGGAGATATATAGAAACAAAGGACCTGTTTATTAGTACGTTAAAGACTGGTTGATCTAGTAGATGGGGGAAGGGAATTTTCATGACATGCCCTGTGGGTCCCACCAACCGGGGTCCCAAACACCAGCGCCAGGGTGGCGAGAGGCAGCAGAGATGCCGTCCCAGGGGGATCAGTCTCCTGAGAGCGGGCAGGAAAAAACAACCCAAAAGTGCCACCAGCCCCCTTGCCACTTCCACCACAGACTGGGAAACACGCACATCGGCATCCCAGGGCCAGCGGTGCCGGCCCCATCCCTTCCCCTTGGACATGAAATTCGCCTCCCCCAAAGCCACAGCTGGGATGGGAAACCCTCGTTCCGGACAGGAGCTCAGCAGCAGGGCAGAAAAGCATTGCGAGGGGCAGCTGCTGTGTCCAACAAAGCAGAGCCCCGCCAGGACCGGTGGAACTGGGGCGGAACCCGAGGGAGGGGCCGTTGCCCCCCGCCCCAACGGCACTGCCCAACTGCCGTGGCAGGTACAGCAGCAGCTCCCGCTCCTCCTGGTGCTGCTGCCCTGCAGGTAACCCCCAGCCGGCTCTGCCTGCCAAGCTCTGCGCCCAGCACCTCTCTACTGCTCCCAACAGAGAGGCTCCCTCTCCAGCTGTCCACGGCATCGGAGGTGCCCGGCGTGAGCTTCCCCGCTCCGGCCATGCCGCCTCCTGTGCGTGCCTGTGAGCTGCCGTCTGCCCCGGGGCTGCCAGTCTCTGTTGAGCCTGCCCAAGTGCAGCAGCTCCCCAAGGAGCCAGCAGCAGCGGCGGCGCTGGAGAACAGCAAGGACAACGTCCCTGATGTCTACGATCTGACTGACTTACTCCATGCGCTCCCCGACCTGACTGAGAATGCGGCGGAGGGCGGCTGCCGCAAGGAGCCAGCAGCGGTGGCAGGGCTGGGGAACAGGCAGAACAGCATCCCCAGCACCCATGGTATGAGCGCCTTGCTCCATTCTCTGTCTGATGTGCCTGAGAAAGTGGTGGAAGGCGGCTGCCCCAAGGAGCCAGCAGCGGCTGTGGGGAACAAGGAGCACCCTGTCCCCAACATCTATGATACGAGTGCTTTGCTCAGTGCGCTTCCTGACTTGTCTGAGAACACCGTGGAGGGTGGCTGCCCCCAAGCAGACAGCAGCGGTGGCAGGCCTGGCAGACAATGAGGACACCATCCCCAACGCCTATGACATGAGGGCACTCACAGGCACTGAAAAGGAACTAGTACTTAAAGCCACCAGAACTCACGTTCAGGCATCAGTCGCTGCACAAACATTGCAGGGAAAGGCAGATGATTATGTCCCTGCAGTTAAACCACAATGGGATTAGAATAACCCCAACTGTTATCAATTTCTCCCGAGATATCAAACACGGATTGCGTTTAGATAGGAGCAAGCAATTCCTAAGTCCATGAATTGGGGAGCTTTATATGCTGTCAAGCAAAACACAGGTGAAACTCCTCCGGAATTTCTGGGTAGATTACGGGAAGCAATGCAAAAATGAGCTACCATGGACCCCTCCGGAGAGCAGGGAAGGCAGCAGCTGATACCTGTCTTTCTAGGACAATCCTCAGATGACATTAGAAAGGAGCTACAGAAGCTTCCAGCAGAGGACCAGAGAGATATTGAAAAGCTGACTGAGGAAGCATGGAGGGTGTACCGCAACCGAGGCAGTAGTGAAAGGAAAAAGCTAAGTCAAGCACTTACTCGTGCGACCACTGCGGCCTTAAGGTAAAGAAGCTATCAGGGAAACGGAAAAACTCAAGGCACATGGGAAGATTGCTTTTGGGGTCGTAGAATGAGGGCCCCTAATAACAGGGTACGGCCTAAGCAGTGTGCTTCTTGTAAACAGGCAGGGCACTGGAAAAGCCAGTGTCCCACACTGAGAAGGGAGGAGGGAAACCTCCCACGCCTTGCTGAATGAGAAATAGAATAGGGGGGAC